CAGTCTATGCAGCTATTGTCCAAAAGCCAGATATTCACAGTAAGGGTGGGTAAAAACCTTATACCTATCCCAAAGGAAGAGCAGAATCACAAATCCGGACAGGACTCCAGTCCCTCTCGGGACATACATGCATACAAACAGGGACAAACTCAAAACCCCAATCATCCCATCCAGGCTGTGCGTAAGATATGGTATTAGACCAGAGCACCCAGAGAGTTCGAGCCCTGGGGTGAACATGCAAACTCCAAACAGCAGGTGTCCGAGGCCTCAATCAAACCCTGGACTCAAAGAGTTGAGGCAGCAGCTCATCCCTTCATCCACCACAACTCCCTCCATCTGCACGCCTTCCAGTGAATATTTATGGAATAATTTTCATCATTGATTAAAATTCTTGAAACAGTACTTCAGAAACATGTCTGACTATTCATGTGGGGAAATGTGGTTTGTTTTTCCCCTACTTGTTTTTCTTTGATTTCTGGGGGGTTCACGATCATTTTTAAATGGGCACAGTGGCAAAATGGTTAGCATCGTCGCCTCACAGTACTGGGGCCCTGGGTTCAATTCCGGGTCTGGGGTGCTGTCTGTGTGGAGTTTGTATGTTCTCTGGTTGCTCCAGTTTCCTCACACTGCCCAAAAACTGGTAGGTTACTGGGCTTCTGGGGAAATTGGCCCTGGTATGAGTATATGCAGGTCTGTGTGTGCCCCTTTAATGGACTAGCAGATCCTGTTTTGTGTCTGTTGCTTGCCAGGTGAGGTTCGGCTCTCCCCTGTGACCCTGTATTGGATAAAGGGGATTAGAAAATGGATGAATGGAAGTCAATCATCACTCAAGTACCATACATGTTGTGTATGTCAAACATAAATCTGAAGGGGGAAAAAATCATTTTGGGAACACCGATTTCACTTCCTTCTGTAACAGCACGTCCCCTTCGCTCACAGAAGTTTCCATTTACGTTCTGCAATGTCAAATCAAATGATAAAGTCTGACAGCCACCCAGAAGGAGGGGGGGAGAAAGGACCACTGTTTCGAACCCCCGCCAAATCAATACAGGAAAAGAAAATCACATCCTTCAAAAGCGTCTTTAAATTAAAAAAAAAATGTTTACTATAAATTAAGAAGCCGACTTCCACAATTGTGTACCAGTGTTCACACAAGGGAACGGGATTGGTTCTGAAGTAGCAGAGCTGCCTCGACGTGGCAAATCCCACGATGCCTTCAAATCCAATGGATCTCGAGGGCCAAGGGCAGCTTCAACACCGCCTTCGGCCGGGCCCATAAACTCAAACTACGGAGAAAGGGACTTAGGGGCAGCTAAATGAAAGCTTTCCTTATATGCGTGATCAAACCACCAGCAGTTACAACGTAGTCCACGAGGGTGGGTGGGGGGCGGAAATGGCTCATTTCTTGGTATGAGCCACAGAATAATCTGTTGTTACGGCCAGGTCGTTATGACGTTATTATCCGCTATTATTATGCCAGCCCCCTTTTAACCCCACCTGCCTCGTTCATTAAGACGCTTAGTGAAGGTCCAAAAAAACGACTGCAAACAACGACTCGAAGACTCGCCGTCCTCCTCAAATCTGGTCTTTTCCTCACCTGGGCCGCCGGCCACCGGGGAAGGAAACAAACGTCTCCCGCCGCGTCCCGGAGGGCAGCCGCCAGGAACCAAGCGCGAGCAGAGACGCGGTCAGGGGACGCCATCTTTCCGCTGGCAGCACTGCGAGGGCGGCACGCTCCAGTCGTAGATGTACGACAGACGCAGCTTCACCTCCTCCTTGCACAGGCGGCCCTCCTTGAGCAGCGTCTGCTGCTTCTCCAGCATGTCCTCCAGGCTCTGCTTGTGCGTCACTATGTACTTGTTGTTGCAGCCCCGGGACTTGTACTCGGTGTCGAAGCGGGGGTCGTGCGCCCGGCGGACGTCCACGGGCGCCAGCCAGGCGCCCAGGGAGACGTCTTCGCTCTGCCAGGCCTTCAGGTACGGAGCACTGATCCGGATGTAGTGGACGAGGTCCGAGGACAGGACGTAGCCCCCCCCCAGTGCGTAGGGCAGGTAGTAGTCGCACAGGGTCCAGGTGCTCTCCTTCCACTTGCCAGCCGACTTCACTCTCCCCCTGCCAGAGAAGAAGCCCCAGTAGAGTCTCCTTGGCTCCTGGGAGCGCAGCTCTTCCTTGATGACGTCCAGGCGGGCGAAAGTATCGTCGTCCGCCTTCAGGACAAAGGTGAAGTCCACGTTCTGGTCCAGCCAGGAGTACATGTGCAGGAGCTTGAGGGTGAGGTTCTCGTAGGAGTCCCTGAGGTTGGGCAGGAGCAGGAGGTCTTTGTATCGGGCGTTCTCCGCGGCCAGGCTCTGCAGGTCCTCGGGGGGCAGGCCTTCGGTGCCGACCACAAACAGGCCCAGGACGTCCGGGTCGCCCTTCGTCAGCCAGGTGCTCCGGATGATGCTCCTCCTCTCGGTGTACTTGGGCCCCGTGGTGATTAAGACCACCAGGAAGGCGCTCAGCACCTTGGCCGCGGCGTCCCGCCGCTCGGCGCGGATCTCGGACTGGGCGGGGAATCCGGGCTCCGGGCCCTTGGCCGCCTCCGACGTGCACTTGGCCAGGTAGAGGAGGACCGCCGCGAACAGGCAGCCGCCCCCCAGGGCCAGGGCCGTCTTGTGACGGCACACCAGCCGCGCCAGGTTCATGATGCCCC